AAGTCTCATATCCCTTTCGAATCATCCGGGCGACAACTAAAGCCGAAACTATATTGGATAGAAAACTTCGATTAATATCATAGTTCGACCATAAGAAGTCTGCTGAGTATCCCTCTTGTACTCACAATCCAGATTAACTTGATGCTTATTCAACCAATCCATCCCCAGAATCAAATCGAACTCCTCCAAAGGAAGCTCTATAAGATTAGCTAGAAAGATTTCACCTTTAATCTCAAGTGGACAATGACAGAATATTATATTCACAACCATTGATTGTCCTACATGGCTCATAACTGTAATTGCACTCTTGGTGTCCTCGATTGGAATATGAAGGTCTCGGGATATGAAACTCGATATATAGGAATTGGTGGAGCCATTGTCTAACAATGAAAAGTATAGAACATAATAAATAATAAATGTATCTACGATAACCTCTGGCTCGTCTTTGTCATCTCGATGTCTGGTAGTATACACCAGAGCTGGCTACTTAGCCTCAGATACCACTAGCCCTCTACTTTACTGCTAACAGGCTCTAGTGACAATCCCAGAAGTAGATCCAGAAGCTCTCCCTTGACAACGACCCCTAGTTGGAGCCTGAACGGAAGCTTGTGAGTGAGCAGGGGTCTAGGTGGATGTCCGCTGAGAAGAGGTTGGATGTGGATAATCTCTAAGGAAATGCTCATTAGATCAACATAAAAAACAAATACCCATCTTCTTATGACATTATCCCTTATATCGATTTCTACAGTATTCACAAATAGGTACATAAGAAACACCTGATGAATTACCCCGAATAACAGCTGAGGGTGAAGAAGTTGTAGGCCTAGAACCAGAATTACTCCTATGGGAATAAAAGTACGGGTCCGCTTCCCAGGGCGAACAGAAGACTCGGTCTGACCAGAAGACCTCCTAGATTGGTCTCGATCTACTATATCCTTATTAGGAGCCATAATCTCAATATCCTCATTCTCTTTCACTCTATCCACCAAATCATCGAGCATCTCATCCCGATGGCCCACCACATGCTTACTCAACTCATATTTGAGTCCTCGAGCAAACTTACGACACTTATCCCTGCCAGTAGGAACCAGACTTTCACCATACTTCATTAGCTTCAAACATTATATCTCGTACTCAGAAACTATCATATCTCATTGAACTAAATCCTGAAACTATTTTCATCTCTCAGTCTGATAACACTCTTTAAGAAAACATTTCCTAAAGTACTCATTAAAGAAATCCCAAGTCAAACGATTAGCAAGGATGTTGCTCACTACAGACTCCCACCAGGTGTAGGTATTCCCATCCAACATCGAAATAACTCTCAAATATCTCTTTTGTGGATCTAAACCCAACTAATACATATGTATCTCTATATCATAAAGTCAATCCTCAGTCTCAACAGGAGCTCTACCAGTTAGGCCTCTAAAAGTTTTAACCTCATTATCAATTTCTACCAGTTACTCACTCCTCTAATTGCTCCCTGAATCAACTGTAGAAACCATTTGCCCAACGTATCATCCAAAATAACTCTTGTAGGCTCAATCCTAGTAATTGGTGCTCCTTTAACAGGTGTCTTCATATCAATCCCTAGAGCAGACTATGAATCACTCGCAACTGACGAGCCAGTAAGGGCGGGAGGATTTACTGGCATCGACGGTTCCTCAACCGAATCAGTAAATCTAACAGGTCGACCTTGTGCACGGGAAGGTCGAAGACCTCACCTAGCACTCATCTTGGAAAAGCTCGTGGGTCACTACACAAGGTAAAATCTAGGATTAGATTTGGCACTCAGAGTCTTGTACACAGTTAAACTTACAAAACTTGGTGACATGACCTTTATAGTAATTTTGTAAAACATTTCAAAACAATATTTTTATTTAGGACTCATCCACAGTCTTAGGTTTTAAAAACCAAAATCTCTGATACCAACCAAATGTAACCCCCTAAACTCAGCCTTTGCGCCACGACTAAATCTACTGAATTACATTAAAAACTTTCTAAAACGTTTCAAAACTTTGAAATCATACGTAACCAAGCACCCTTAAAATAAACATAATTGAGAGTATTATGGTTCAAACCAAGAAAATGAAAACATAAAATATCATGCATAAACATGAAATTCAATCATCCAGAATCGTATATATTCATCAATCAATAGTAAAACAAAAATAAGTAAAAAGACAAGTATAACAAAATATGTAGGCACATGTCACCCATAATAAAGACAGTATGGAAGATGGAAACATTACGACAAAATACTATACATAATGTGTCAATCCTCTAAATGTCAAGTTTGGGAACGCCTATCCAAAAGTATCTGAAAGGGAAAAAAATTTGGGAGTGAACATGCAAGCTCAGTGTGTTCCAATAAGTGTCATATAAAACATGATGATACATTTCAAATAAGATTTCAGAAATCACAGAGTAAAGATGATAGTAAAGTTTTTATTTATAACAGATAACTACCCTCCACCCTTACACCACATAAAATATCCAGAATATGCATCCATAAGGACTTGCCCTAGACCCCTAAAATATAGGAGTCCAATATGAATTATCAGAATAGAAAAGATTTACCAACTAGCTGAAACTTAGAGTCTCCAGACACCTATCCGTACAGTACCCCAAAAATAGTTTCAAATAACACCAGTAAAATTAGGATATCATAAAACAGATGTTTTACAAAAATTCAGTGAACAAATATCAAACAGATCAGAAAATTCAGATCAGTAAAACAGAACTCAGGAAAATCAGTAAACAGAATCATATGCACATGGTAGTTTATATATATATATATATATAACATAACACACAAGGAACACACCTTAAAAGGGTCAGTCGAGGATGTCTACTAAGCATCAGCCTCACCACACTCTATAACAGTGTTCGAACCTAAACCATAATGAATTCGGGGTTACTACGAAAATAATATTTAAATCTAATTATTTATAAGGTTTATAAAACTATACGAGTAATCACGGGCTCGCGCAGTCTGAAAGATCAGGAAGAGCTGGGTCGAGTTGACGAGCGGTAGGAAGAATCTCGAGTACCTTCAATAATTAACGACACAAATCAACTCTTGACCTTATATTAAATGCGCTTAAATAAAATAATTAAATACATATGCATGTTCAGGGTTCAACGCTCGATTTGAGGGCTTTCGTGTAAGAATTTGGTAAAACAGACTTTGGATTCAGACTTAAGACGTCGAAAAACGTAAAATATGACTTTTAAAAAAATTTACCTTTTCGGTCAAAGCTAACGCATGTCAAAGTCGACTCAGGTTAACACATTCGAGTTGACGGGTCTGGGTCAAAGTCAACGGGTCAGACTGGTTTGGGTTGACTCAGACCAATTCGAGTTGACTCAGACCGATTCGAGTTGACTCAGACCGATTCGAGTTGACTCAACTGACTTGGTCAACTCAGTTCTGGAATATTTGAATGAGAGTGGAGCCCACGCGCCACGATAGCGTGTGGTGGCACGTGCGATGACCAACTAGAGTAGGGTCACCATCCAATTACTCCCCTAGCCATCAATCACCGATTTAACACAGTTACCAACCAAACAATCAACCAAAACTGTGAGAAAATAATCGGAAAAGAAAAAGTATCTTACCCACGCCGACAGAGGATTCGACGACAACAAGGGGTCAAGGTGACCGGGTCTTGGTTGGAACTAAGTGAGGAACTCAGTGACGAAAACGGTGTAGCACGACGATGGCTAAATCGGTGCAAAAATGCGAAAACCTACGGCGACGGGTTTAGGTTTCAACGAGCAAATAATCATCGATTCACGTCGAACAGTGATGAAATACGATGAGAGGTTATACGGGTTTTGATCGGAGTTGGACTGCGATTAAGGGGCTGACGGCGGTGTATGACACGTCAACCAGAGACGGCGACGACAACAAACGATAAGCAAATTTTGATTTTTTTTCTAATTGAGATAACTTTCCCGATTTAAGATCCAACCTAAGTAAGTTAAAGTAATATTTTTATTATTATAAAGCTCAAATAGTAACATAGTCTGAGTGGTATGACATAGGGGTGTAAACGAGCCGAGTCGAGCTCGAGTATTGCTGAGCTCGACTCGACTCGAAAACTCTGAAATGGAGCTCGACTCGATCTTGAAATCCTGATCTGAAGCTCGTGAGCAGTTCGAAAAGGCTAGAAATGAAAAAAAAAATCTTAAACTTAACTAGATTGAAGTTTCAAACTCAAACATGAACCTTAAATACATGTAAACCTTACTGTATTTTTTTTAAAAAAAATCAACACATAAATGTTAATATTATTAATAATTTATTTTAAAAATAAAATATTAATATATTATATTTTCGAGTTACTCGCGAGCTTTTCGAGTCGAGTATCAAATAGCTCGTTTCGGCTCGTTAAGAATTCGAGTCGAGATCGAGTCGAGTCCATTCAATTCGAGTATTTATCGAGTCTTGACTGAATCGATCTCGAGTAGTTCGCGATCTGTCTCATCTTATTTACAACCCTAGTAGGAGAAATGGTCATCTGTTTTTGCTTTGTATTAGGGGTTCAAAACCCACCGGCCTCAGTTTATTATTCTTTTCAGCATACCAACAATGGTTAAACCAGGGAACAAGTCACTGAAATTTAAGTGACTTAGAATTCTGCCCTAAAATTCCCCAAAATTTACAGAATTTTCCACAAAAATTTGAATAAATTCAAATTAAAAAACAAATTGAAAATAGGGGTTGTTACACAACCGGTGTTGAACGGACTATGTCTCTTGTTATATTACAATGCGATCCATCAAATAAGCTTTTATTATGTATAAAGGCTAATAATTTACTTTACATAAATATTAACATTCATAAATGATAAAACATCTCAAGTCATGTCTTCATATTATAAATTTCCATTGTGTTGTATCTAGGAAATAACATAAAAAAGGTACTCTCGGGTGGAACTAAAATGCATGAGACAGATATGTTTAATTTTGCCCAAATGCTTTTAGAATTCGTAAAAAAGCACAATCCCACAACTATGTCCGAATAAAAATCGGTACTACCGTACAATTTTCTCCATATTACATCCTACAAAATACATATTCTCTTCATATTACATCCTACAAGTTCTCAAGTATCTCTCTAGGCCAATGAAAACAACCCCACCACAACTGCCATCTAAAGCTTATGAGCTGTCGGATTCGTTTCCCGAATCTATGTTCATCGGTTGAGGATTTTTATATGCGTTCCTTTCGACGTCATATCGTTTTCTATCTAATTTAGCCTTCGCTTCATACGGTTCTTTTTCCTCCTCTGTGCAAAAAGGAATATCAAAATGTTCTTATTGTTACCATCCAAGCTAATTTTGAACCTATACTTAGCATATTAATAAAACAAGCTACGTCAATTTGGCAATGTAACTTACCGGACAGCTTTTTCCACTTCTCTCCGAGTATTCTCGACACCTCAGTAAACGAAGCTCCAGGATTACTTTTCTTCAGATTCTGTAATCAGGCATAACCAGATCAATCAGAGGTTCACCAAAACTAACTTCATCATTCATTGGCAGCCACAAAAATATTTCACCACTAATCAAAGAATGTAAAGAAAATACATGACCCACCTCCCTTTCCACTTGACAGAAAAACATGAAACCGGACATAGCCCTCTTGGGTGCATTTGGATCCTTCTTTTTCCTTTTTTTCTTCTTCCCATCATCTAGCCCATCTTTAGCTTTTTTCTTAGTTGCCTTGGCAGAAGAAGCTTCCTTTCTGGGATCGTTTTTGGCAGGCTTCTGGCGATTGAATATTCAGTGTGAGATACCGAAAGATACTTTGTCCTGAATTTAAGTTAGAGGAATGAAGTTAAGGAACAAAAGTTACTTGCCTCTTTCTCATCTCCACTGTCACTACCATCTGAATCCTCATCCCCAGAATCATCAGTTGGTGATCCTCCATCGTCTTTGTCAAGAACAAAGTCCTCATCCTGCATTGGTTCATCGTGTTTATGACATTGACAAAAAACAACCGGTAGGGACATGCGGAAGCTAGAGAGACAGACATGGATATCTATGATGGTTGCCCCTTGATGTTACATGCAAGCATCATAAAAGACATACCATCACTATGTTAACAGGGGAATTTTCTCTATCTATATAACTACTAGTAAAGACCAATGGACTATTGGACTTAACCCGTGCTTCATATTTGAGGCAGAAGCAAGTTCAAACTACAAATAAAGAATGAAACAGTGAAGTTCAAACTACAAATAAATAAATAAATAAATAAAAATCAGGAAGATAAAGAATGCACCTCCTCATCACTTTCATCTCCACCAGCTTCGTTCTTAATGCGTTCAAGATGTGGGTCAACAGCATCATCATCATCATTTTGGAAAATTTCAGCCACGCCATCCGTGGTTCGTACATCTCCGAGGTTCATAATCTTCAAACCCTTCGAACTGCATTTACAGCCAACAGTTAATATATTTCCAAAAGGAACAAAATTATTCATCGAATGAAGAACATCAAAACCAGACCTGATGAAGTCAAACAAATTGTGATATTCATTTCTCTGAATATTCCGGAATAAATGCTCTTGCTCAGTCTTTAATCTTATGAGAAGATCAAAGTAATGCATATTTGAGCCTCCGGCAGCATGCCTCTCAAATTCAACATAGTCAATCTAGCATTTGAAAATAAGAAATAACAACCAAATATGTCATTTGAATGGGGTAATTAGCCATTAAATTTATAGATCAACAAATCAATGTACAGACAGTTTACAATCTATACCTCCTCATGAAGAATAAGCGTAGGAGGTTTGGGTAGAAAGAAGAAGCTTTTTTCAAGTGGATACAGTACTCCATCTTCAGCTTTTAAGGAAGACTTGACAGCATAACCATCTTGACAGCTACGGAATTTTCCTGGTTTGGTAACTTTGGCACCAGATAAACCACGCATTATTGTGGTAAACACTTCATGAATCAGTCCCTGTTTTATCAAGCCCCACAAAATAATAGGTGTAAATTTGACAACACCATGCCATGCTTTGGATGGACTTAAAATGAAAATGATGTATTACCTTGTAAGAGGGTTCCAATTTGTCCTTGTACTTGGTATGCAACAGATCTTCATTTATAGACAAGGTGCTTTGAACAACATAATCAGTTTCAAACTGCAAAAAAATGAATGAGAATATATGTGCAAAACAGTCTTGGCACATGCAGTGACAATGGATCTAGGGAACCAACAATACCTGCAAGACAATATGGGGGTACAAAGTTTGCCCTTTACGAATAGGCGGATCAAGGGTCACAACAACAAAAGTGTGAGGCTGGTTGTACTGTCAAACACACAAAAAAGTAGCGAAAATATATCCTAATAGGTTATACATAAAATAAGACCTTTTCATCAATGAACACTATTAACTTGTTATGAAGATAAAGAATTAAAACCTTCGGAAGCAAAAACAGGCGAACAACACTGCTATACTGAATTTTGAAATCATTTGCCTGGCCTTGGAGTCGCAAGAATGAGAGATGAAGTTCAACACTATACCGACCCCTGCACAAAAAGCAAGCTTAGTCAGCCATATACAAATAGGAAAACAATCTTAATAAAACAATATATGAAACAAATCAGATATATACATATCACAATCGAGTGTGATTACATATAAGTGTTGCGAGATTACATTTTGCAACATCCCTATCTCAATATTTGAGCAAGACCTACCTAGGTGTGAGAATTGCAATGCCCTCAAAAGTGACAACAGCTTCCTCAACTCCAGAACCAACATCAGCCACTGACATGATTTTTTCGCGGAAAACCTATCAGAAAGTTAATGGGACATACATTAGCATGGCAATAAAAATTGAATATTTACATTATCCCGACAGAGAAGTGACAACAAACTTACCTGAGCTGGTGGACGATTTTCATCACCAACAAATTGGGTGTTAGAATTAGGAACGTGGAAACTTATCTCCATAAGTGAATCTTTCTGTCATTAACGGAAGAAAACCTAGTTAGACACAGGGGGGGGGGGAGTTTCCCTATTCTTGGAAAAATGTGCTGCAGGTAAAACTTCAAGTAAACCTTACATAAAATAATATGGTCACATGCATTTAAAGGGGAGATGGACTCCTTTCAAAATTAACAAATAATCAGCAGAACAGTTAGAAACACACCTCGTTAGCTCCAGTTGTGTCATCCACATGGAACTCCAAGATGACATCATTTTTCCCTTGAAGTTGAGTTTGCGACACGTCAGCTAACGACACTTCAAAAGCTTGTTTCGCACCAGTCAGAAAGGTAAGCATATTCCCTGCATACACGATATCAGGGACTTCAGAACTATAAGAAAGAGCAATTTGTTATTTGTGACATACCAAAAACCAGGTTACAGCAAGAATGCAAAACCTGGCCATAAAGTATAAAGATCAAAGACTCTAGCAAACTGAAGCATAAACTCCTCATTCTCTCAAGGGCACAAAATATAAAGTTATAGTATGCAAAAAAGAAAACACACCATTATCCACTAATGACAAAACAGTACAGCAGCCAAAAACTGTGTAGAAGTGCCACAGAACACAAGAAATCACCAAATTTTGGTAAAAGCTTACTATCTCGCTAGATTAATGATGGCATTCTTTATAGACCCGTGGGCCCAGAGCCATAAAAAGCTTGCAAATCTAAAAATAACGAAGAAGTTGTTGAAGGCCCAAGGACAATGTTTGAAATCTCAATCATCATCAAACACAATGCAAGATTTAGAACACAAATAACAGAAAACAGTTTCAAAGCACTTCATGTAATCTCTTCTGTAGCTACAAACAGAAATCACCATATGCAGGAGGCATTGATAAGCAGAAAGAAATCAAAAGGATTCACTAACCACTTAAATCAACTTCTCCCCAATTACGACCGCTGACAGAAAGCTGCTTTTCTTCTGGTGTTATTCCACAATTATTCTGGAAAAAACTGGTCAAACTGGCAACATCCTGCAATGCAAACATAACAGAAGAAAACAAGGGTCATTAATAAATAGTACTAAATCCAAGGACAGAAAATACGGCACTGATATTATTTCTCAATTAACATAGTTCATAACTGCTACTGAAAACCTTTAGATGTAAATGAGAGAATACAACTCTACTGGGGATAGAATTGAATTTCAACCTGGTCACGGAACCCAGTGAACTTGTAATACAACCCATCTTTGATTCTAACACCAAGTTGGTTTGTCCTAGGGATCTTCGTCCATGTAACACCTAAGATATCAGATTTATCAACTTCGACAGCTTTTCCACCTCCTTGTTTCTTCCATAAAATCCCTCCTGAATAAATTTTAAGCTGCCCAGGATTCTGCATTTAATCACATAAAGGGGCAAGCGTGTAAGATCCATGTTTTCATTTCTTTCCAACCTTAATGAAAAATAAAAGGGGGAAAAGAACTTATCAAACTCTGTTTCTAAAGACATTAGTATTACATCTGTCAAAACGGGCAGAACCAAGATTGCATACATTTATACTCTGTTACAAATTTGGAATTCACAAACCGCGATACCAAATGCTTTAACCTGAGCATAAAATAGAAGGCAACAGTCATGTACTAGTGCATTCCACAAGTTTCCCCGTCTCTAGACCATTTTTACATTTCAGCTGCAGAATAAAAAATTCAATTTTTCTTCTTTGAAATTAATTAGGGTTTCTACATTAGTGGCCAGGGAAAATAACAACATAAAGAAGGCCCTGTTTCATCTCGTCAATCGACAAGGCCTGAACTGAAAAAATACCTTTCTTCAAAAACCTCGATGAACTAGGGTTTCAAATGAATCAACCGCGCTAACTAATAAAGACATGCTCCGTTTCCTTCTATCAGAACATAAGAATCTATCAAGCAGATATGAACATAAAACAAACAAAAAACCATAAAATGAACTAAAAAATTATAATCTCAAGAAAAAGAAGAAACCCTAGCAATAACAAGAAACAAAAACACTGAAAGAACCGGTAGATTTTTCTCCAAAGCTTAAACTGAACATATCGAAGTCACATGAAATCAAACAAACAAAGAACGAATTAGGGTCACAAAATGATTTAAAAAGAGTAAAAGAAAAGGAAAGCCATAAACTTAAGTTTTTTAGAGTAAAAGAGAAACATAGAGAAAGTTCGAGCGATAGAAAGAACTAACCGTGCCACCTCGGCCGCCGAGGGAGATGTTGTTGAAGAGATGGCCGTCCGTCATAGCGGCAATGCTATTCCAAGAGAGAGAAAGTGAACGGAGTTCAGAAATGAACTAGTTAGAGATTGAGTCGGTTCAAGTTCGAATAAAAACTATAGGTTAACCTAGTTATTTAGCCATCAAACTATTACTTATCTACCATTATGGTCACATAACGGATAATTATTTCATTTTAGTCATTAATATTATATTTTTTTCTATCCCAATCACATGCAGTTAAAAATTCTTAAAATAAAATAAAAAATGCTGAAATGTTTGGGTATAATAGAATATTTAGTCCCTCATCTTTACATATTCTTTTAATTTAATCATAATGTTTATAATTTAATAAATGTATCCCTTCAATTTATAAATTCTATCAATTTAATCCTCAAACACGTAACATCTCTCCTCAACAACCGAAAATTTGCAAGTCAAAAAAGCGAAATGGACTGGAAAATGCAGAGAAAGTCTTTGTTATTACAAATCTTTTCGCTTGAAATTCTAAAAGGAAAAAGAAAAAAAAAAACAAGTATAAACAGTAGGGTATTCATAACCAAGTACCTGCATTTTTAGCTATTTGAAATGTTGGGTACCCAAAAATTTTAAGTATCAAAATATTAGTTCTTATCTCATCTATTAACTTCAGATACCCTTAAATAAGATATCTGTAAAATTTAAGTAATCATATTTTTGAATCACGTGTACCTGATTCATATTTAGTTTTTATATATATTTTAAATTATATTACTTTTTACAAAAGTTCACATAAAACTTAAAATTAAAAATATATATTATCTAATCTATATATAAAATTTCAAATTTCAAATCACATAAATCTAAAAATATATTTTGAAATTATAAAAATTAGAATTATAAAAATAAATTAAAATTAAAGAAATAATTTAGAATATTGTACGGTGATAATTTAAGAAATTTAAACATTAGAATATTAATGTGAAATAATTTAGGAATTGAGAATGAAAATTTAAAATAAAATTAAAAAGACATTTAGTATCAATTAGTCATGTATACAGTTAATAAAAATGATGTGGCTCGATTCAGACTTGACTCGAAAACTCAAAAAAAAGGTCGTATATTTGAAACGTAAATTAGAGTATTTACATCATAGATATTTGACAACTTTTAACCAAGTCGACAGATCAACAGGTTGGATAGTTTGAATTGTGTATTTTTAATGCATAAAGCTCGTCATGCTTATGCAACTTAGCTGACCCTTATTCCCATATGTAATGGGATAAGGGGGAGGTATGATAGTAGGCTGCGGTCCCAACGTCAGGTTGAGAGCAGCTTCCGTAGGAGACCTACCTTGTGCTCTACCAACTGAGCTGGATGGTCATGCTTATACAACGAATTTTATAAATTAAAACTTGTCGAATTTTAATTATTTATTATATTTTATTAACATAACAAATTCTAAGTACACACCTAGTAAATATCATTGCTCGAACTCAAAATTTTTAGAGTGAACGATACTCTTTTTAACCATCGAGGCCATTTGATGAATTTTGGAGTGAGGTACTTAGAGATGACAGATTGGTATAATTTCGTAGGTTTCACACCTTATCCGCTCCAATTAGGGTAGAGATGGGTATAAGTTTAGTGTGTAGTGGGTAGGTGATGGGTTTGAGACCTTACCCGCTCCGCATTTGCTTGCCCTATATCCGCCGACCCACTAACTACTCGCCATATAATTTTTGTACAATTATGAATTTAGAAATAATTCTAGAAACTATTTCGTAAATCATAAGATTTTATAGGACATGACTTTTAATTTAACCAAATGTTATAATAAAAAAATTTAGAATTGAAGATCGTTGTTTTTCCTATTTCAAATTGGCTGGTATGGATGAGTACAATTGGGTTCAGGCGGGTATGTGATGGGTGTATGTATCCAATTGGATAGTGGGTGTGGGGTGAATTTGAGAATATATCCGCGTGGGAATGTATGAATTTAAAAATTTTACTCATCGTGGGTGATGGGTTGGTGATGGATATGAAAATAATAGGTGGGTATGGGGATGGAGAAAGGGATATCTGCCTGCTCGCCCATTTGTCATCCCAAGAGATATTACGTCTCTTTGATAAAGTAAAATTTTAAATTTAATATTAAAAATAGAACAAATTAAAGGGTAAACAATATGTTTAGTACCCAGACTATCACTTTTTCATGTTATATCTAAAACTTTCATTTTTTTTAAAAAAATTAGACCTAATATTTACTTTTTGTTTTGTTTTGGTACATTGTCGTTAACAACTTAACAAAAATACTTAACGAAACTATCTTCTCATTTATATTTTGATCACTAAAGTTTAATTTTTTAATTTAATTACTTAATTTTCAAATTACTCTTAATCTAATCACTCTAACTTTCAAATTTAAATTTTTTTAATTATATGTTAATAAAATAATAATAAATTTAATATAAAAAAATTTATTAATAAAATAAATTAGAGTGATTAAAACACGAGTAATTTGAAAGTTGAGTAGTTAAATGGAAATTTTTTAAACTTCAATGACTAAAATAAGAGTAAAAAATAATTAAGTGATGAATAATATAATTTATTCATAAAAAAGTCCGTTAAGTTTTTAACACCTATGTATCAAATTCAAACAAAAAAATAAACGTTATATACGTTTTTTTTAAAAAAAATAATAGGTATCAAACTGAGATAAAAGTATTAACTTAGGTACTAAACATGTAGTTTATCCAAACTTAAATTGTAAAAATTATAAGTGAGAACTATTTACTATTTATTTTTATTTTAACATTAGAAAACTCAACATTAGTGTGAAGTTGAGAAAAAAAATCTAGCTATTCTTTTTCCTTTTACAAACCTATGAAGAAAAAAAAAAAGGAAATATGGCGGAGCTACCAGCTTCACAGCTGCACACAGCAACAACAGCGGCGGCGGCGACAATGATCACTGATTTGGACGAAGATTCGTTGGCTCATTGCGCAACCTATCTAAGCCTTCAGGACCTTTCAAATATCACCACGACCTCCAAATTTCTCAACAAAAAAAGAGCTTATTCCGACTCCATTTGGCTCCACCGCTTCAGGTTTCTCAAAACTGTTTATATAATTCGTTTTTTTTATAAGTAGAAGAAGATACAGTTATTCCTTTTTAGGATTCGAATTTAAAAATAGAGATTTTATTTTAAGGCAATTGTTTGCATGCTCGAATTTCATTTCTCTGTAAAATACGATTGAAAAATAGATTGAATTTTACAAAAAATAGTCAGTGGATTTTTATTTATCTGTTCATTATTTTGTATTTGATTGTATTAGGCTGCATTGGCCGCTAGAAATGCTATCAAGCTCTTCATCAGGAGTGAGGAAGCCTATTTGGATTGGCGTCCGGCGTTGCATCAGTTCAAATTTGCTGATCCTTTAGTTCTAGATTTGTATACTGAAGCAAGGCCTTTCGATCATATATTTCTTGATAAGAATGATATAATCTTTTCTCAAGAATTTCCATTTAGTTTCTTTATCATGTTTTTAACTCACGATGCTTTCACCATTTCAAAGCTTACTTTAAGTTTGTTTGCCTAGGGTTCTATCGTAAGAATGATGAAAACCGGAAGCTCTTTGTAGAATTACATATATGGATATCCTTGTAAGAACGAGTGATGATAATGCAAGAATTACATGCATGAGGTGAGAAATATTTTATGGATATCCTTGTAGAATAAGTGGCATTGCATTTACAATAGGGGATATGGTTTTCTTGGTTATAGTCTGTTGATTTACTTGTGACATTTTACATAAGGAGTATTTCATGGACACTAGGCATCAAAATTGGGTATACCAATATGCAAAAGCTAGAGTTCTTTTTAATATGCTACTGCTTTGCAGATTGCTTCTGCTAAATGAAACTTCTTTGTTTCGAGGTGGGATGCATATTGGTTCACCCGGTTTTGATGTACTTGGTGTCATTTTTATTTTTGATTTGGCATGTTTAATTACGTAAGTGTTTCATGATCACTTGGCATTGGAACCGGTTATGCCAATGTGCAAAAGCTCGAGTTCTTTTCAATATGCCTTTTATGATTGTTCTGCAGATTGTTTCCACTTGATGAAACTTCTTTAGTTCGAAGTGAGATGCAACGAGATGAAAATGTTTTGGTAACCTCAAGTTGTGACCACTCAGTTCGTCTGTGGTGGAAGGTATTATTCCAAATATTCCCTTTCTTTTTCCTTTTCAACAGAGCTATATAAGTTATAACTAACCTTGATTTATTCGTTGCATTGCATCGAGTAGGAGAGCATACATGCAATTTCTATTTGTTGTTCATTATTATAATTTTTTGTGCTTATGTTATGGATAGGATGTAATCATGTAAGCTTATCTTTCTTGGCTTTGTTCTGGTTGAATGTCTTGCTTCATGCTTTTCTTGTAGGGTGCTTGTTAACGGTGCTTTATAGGTCATAATGGTCATGTTTCCATAATGTCTGATAAATTATTAGGTGACGGCGGTGTCAAAGTATTGGCAAGTGCTGGGAAAGATGGCACTGTTTGTCTCTGGTCCCTTCGCTCTAGCGGAAAACGTGGGCAACAAGCTTTAAAGGCTACATTTTATGGGCATCAGAAACATGTTTTATTGATGTCAGTTGCTGGGTAAGAATTTGTTTCTTCAAGAAGAGTTTTTTCCCTTTGTTCAAACTTAAAACAAACATTACAAAGTTTGAGCTTTATATTCTGTACATTTGATTATATGTTCTTTAGTTATAATCAATAGTTGACATCCCATCATTTTCCAGGTACAAACTGTTATAGTTAAGAGAAATAGAAAAGGATTCGAGAAGAAGAAATAGAGAATTAGAGATTTAAGAAAAGAAATACTTCATTCATTACTTGAGAAATCAATTCCTCTCAGCCAATGTTTATTTAGTTACAGGGCTATAATTGTAATTTAAAAATATGCCAGCTGTCAGTACTATTCCGAGTGTCGATTCAGAAAAGGAGGCGTTTTTCGGGGAGCTGTTATCATTCTTAGAGAATATAGACTGTCCAGTGTGTCTTGGAGGAGACTTCAATGTTGTAATGTCACAGGATGAAAAGATGGGAG